ATGGTGCCAACTTGGGCCAGTGAAGCAACATCCTCCACAACTAGATTGAAGAACAAAACGACAGCAACTTGTCTGTTCCCCTTCCCCCAATTCCCCAGTACTGTTCCCTTCCCCCAATTCCCCAATAAAAATCTTTAAAAAAAATAAATAAATAAAATAAAAATAAATAAAATAAAATAAAAAATAGAAACAGGTGAAACGCCTTTGAAGGTATATTATTTAACTGAGTAAATCCATATTATTTTTTCAATATGCAATTAATATTTTAAAACTTATTAATCATTCTTTTCAATTGTGCTAAGTCCTTGAAATCAGGTGTGAATTTTATACTTACAGCACATCTCAATTTAGACTAGCCACATTTCAAGCGCTCCATAGTTAATACGTAGTTAGTGGCTACTGGACTAGTGCATGTTAAGCTAAAAGACTAGAACAATAGCAGTTAATTTTAAATTGATGTTTCTCTGTGAGAGCAATTTTATATGATTCTGAAATATTGTAGTAATATTTTCTATAAGATTTACTGCGTTAATTATGTTACGCTCTATTGCCATTATTGTTTTTTATTGGATAGCCAGAATACTGTTATTAAGCATTATAAACAATAAAAGACAATTAAAAAAATCTATAATTATTAGAAATAAAATTGTTTTCTGCATATGATTATGGTTAACCCCAAAACTCAAGAGAATCGAGTAAAAAAATCTTCAGAAATAAAGAATCTAAGGACAGAGCCAGGTTTTAAAGATGTTTTTAAAAAAACAGAAGCTTTCATATATACCAGTTAAGAAGTTCTAAGATAGAGCCCAAGTAGAATAGTAACAAAAATATTAAATACCTAGGGGAATACTTAAGAAAAAATAAAGATCTGAAGAAAATTATAAAACTTTACTAAGGGACCTAAAAGGCATCTTAAAAAATCCTGGACAAAGATGTCCACAGTCCCTAAATTAATGAATTTATACACAAAGATAAAGACACGAGAGTTGCCAAAACAATGTGAAAGAAAGAGAAATACACACTCTTAAAGATTAATAACTTAAATATTTTGTAAAGTTACAAGGTTTTAAATAATATGGTGCTGAGCCAAAATCAAATAAAACAATGAACGAGAACTGAAATCCCAGACACCGATCCTATTATAAGAATGCTATAATGTCTGATAAAGGAAATATTTTAAATCAATAATGAAATGAAGACTCAGTTTAAAAAAATGGTATTGGAATAATCAGTTAACAATTTGAAAAAATCAGGTGTGCTCTATCTCAACCAAATCATATGCCAGTGAGCTTCAGATGAATAATGTAAATAATTTTGAAGAGCTATGAAAAAGGCAATCTCACATGTAGAAGAATATATATACACACACACACACACACACACACACATATATTTACACATTTATTTTAAATCCACTGTATTAAGACTGGAGATTCTCTGTGGAAAAGTCTGTTCCTACTTTTCAGACTCACTTATAAGGAAGTGAGAAGGTGGTATGAAAAGAGAACTGTATGAAGAGTAAGTTCTGAACAACCAACTTAAGAACATAACTCTTTGATCAACTACAATATCTCACACCCTAACTTGCTAGATAAAACTTTTCTACACTGTATTTTTAGTGATTACTAGACAGAATGTATGTATGAAATTTAGGATGGCTTTGAAAATAGTAAACTCAGGGAGGAGAAAATTTATTAAATGATGGATAAGTAATAACAGAAGTTTGATTTCACATTGGGTTTATATAAAACCTCCTAAGAGACAAGGGCAATGTTAGAAGGTTGGGTCGATTTTGGTACTCCCAAGTCTATTTTATATTCTTCAATACAACTGAATAAATTTTTATAGAAAGAATGTAAGTTTTGTCATCCATTTGAAAAACCACTATAATTCAAATAAAAGATGCACTACAGAAATACTCATTTTGTCCATATAAAGCATATTGTTAGGTATACCCTATTTGTAGGTGGGAACTGTGGGCAATGCTCTTAAAGACGGATATCTTACTGGTTATAAGATAATGACAATTATGATGCCCCTTTGTGTTATTGTATGCAAACCCAATATCAGATACACTTGATAAAATTGTATGCATTTAGGTGTATTTGTGATGTGCACTTATAATGTTCTTGAGTTTGGGTGTATTTCTGTATGGGTAGGGGGGTGCAGAATTAAGAGGGGAAAAGGTCAAGTCATCCTGGAATGGTAAGATTATACTAAGAAAAGTTTCCATTAAAAAACCACCTCACTAAAACCAAAAATAGACTTAAAAGGCAGGCATGGGAATACATCTGTTTTATAGTCTAGGAAATTGCTGCACCTACAAGAGTAATGAAGTGTTAGCATAAGGTTTCAAACAGCTTCATTACATAGAACTGAGCTTTAAAATGTTTATTTATTAAAGTATAATTTTATCCCAACAACAGAATATTTATTCTAACATATCCTCCCTCTCTTTTGGGCACATATCCCATTAATCACAGAGGGGAGCTCATGATGGAAATAACAAGAGCTTTTAGAATCAAAGGGGTTTGCAATACTGACTAAATTGCTTATCACCTGGCTTTCCTGAGCCTCCGTTTTATCACTTATTAAATGCAGAATTGCTATAAGGAGAGCAATCGTATCTGTGTAAGTACCAAGAACACACTGGTGGGTGACAGCAGAAGTGATCTGCTTCAGTTTCCTTTTAAAGGTGATTACCTAAAGCTTGGGTCAGATGTTCTAGGTCAGAGTTTCTTAGCATCAGTGCTACTGACATTTTGGGCTGAACAATTATTTGTTGTGGGGCGCTATACTGTGTATTGTTGAATGTTTAGCATTTAGTGGGTTTCTACCCACTAGAAACCAGTAGCAACCTCCCAATTAACAACCAAAAATGTCTCCAGATTTGCCAAGCGTACTCTGGGAGGCAAAAAAAGCTCCCGGTTGAGAATGACTATTGTAGATGATGATTTGAAAATGTTTGTGACAAAGAGAATGACAGCATGAAGTATGTTATTTGTATCTTAGGGCCAGAGAAAAGAAGGCAGAGTCCTAGTATATTGCCTAACGGCCTTATTAATTGATAATGGATCTGAGTCTAAAAGCTAGGTTTCATGATTCCTGGTCTCCTTCAGTCATTCACTACTGTAATGCTCATAATAGTGAAAAACGGGTAACTTACTAAATATCTACCAGCAGGAGAATGGATAAATTACATTATATTCATAGATTATTACAGCAGTCTAAATTAATATATCTAAACGTGTATTGCTGTTGATAAATGTACAAGGATACATATGATATAATTCCATTTAACAAACTGCAAAACAATACTATAGTTTACTTATGGATACATAAACATGTAGATAAAAATATAAAAACATGCATACAATCAGAAATATTAAATTCATGATAGTGGTTAACTGAGGAAGAAAGCAGGAGAACTGAATTGGGGAGGGTACACAGGCCTCACTATATCTGCACCTTTTTCTTTAAAAAAATTCTGAAGCAAATATAGCAAAAGATTAATATTTGGTAAAGCCGGTTGGTGGGTACAAAATACTATATGCTTCTCAAATATTTGTCTGTATATCTGAAATGCTGAATAATGTATTTTAGATACAATTCTCAGGAATGCAAGCTAAGGCCTCAGATGGGGTGTAAGGCTTATTAGCTGCTCACTCAGGTATGCACTGTACCACATACACTGCAGTTACAACCAGATGAGACAGGCAGGTCAGGTTCATTTTACAAATGAGGAAACTGACACTTGAAAGCTAGGCAAATTCTGTCTATCCAAGGTTATTCAACTATTAAGTGGGAGAACAGGATTTGAACCCAGGTCTTTCTGAACCTCAAAGTTTTTTCATGCGTTTTTCCTGAAGACTAAAGGGCTCTTTACCCAGATCTTCACACAGCCTGCTAAACCTCACTCAGGTTTCTGTTCAAAAGTTACCCCTCAGAGAAGCCTTCTCTAATCACCCAAACTACTGGGTTGTCGGAAAAGTCATGACGCATTTATGCAATGAAAAACAGAGAAAAAAATATGTCATGACTTTTCCAACAGCCCAGTAGATACCCTACTTACTCACTCTGAGTCACTCTCCTCCCTCTTACCTGGCTTTGGTTTTCTTCAGGGCACTTGTGCCTATCTAAAATCGCATTCTACTTTAACTAGTCTACCTGTTTAAGTGTCCTCATCCAGAATGTAAGGTTCATGAGAACTGGAAATGGGCAGTACTTACTGCTACATTCTCAGTGCCTGGCATACAGTAGCACCAATATTTGTTGAATTACTATTGCTGACACTCTTATTCTCATTTACTCTGTTATACTGCCACTCTACATAAAAAGACTAAGGGTGGCTAATAATAAAAATGAAATTGGTATACTTTCCATTTAAAAAAATAAAAGACTAAGGGAGATTCTTAGTGGTACTAAAGAAACACACACGTTAGCGATTTTTTTTAAGTAAACAAAAGTCAGTCTAAGTATTTATTTATACTGTAATAAAATGTCTCAACTTACCTCGACAGGAGGATAAAAGTTATAATTCCAGTACCAAAAGGTTCTAGGTAGGTAACCCTTGATTAAGTGGTGTTCTGGCACAAAGGGATGAAAAGTTTCTTTCCCAGTGGAATCTCTGGAATCTCCTGCTTCTACATTTATAATTTCCATGCATCTCCCCAGTGCTAAGTCTTCGATGGAGGAACTATGTGTACATTTTTCAGTTTTGAATGCATCAACAAATCTCTTCAAGGCTTCTTTGCTCAGTACATAGCCTGCTCCTCCACTCATGTAGCCCTGCTTTACATAGGGCTTAAATCTTCTCCCAAAGTAAATGGGTTCTTCAGGGTTGTATTTTGAGAGAAGCCATCTCAAATTGTCTAGTATAACATACGTATCATCATCTGCTTTCAGAAACCAATCAGCATCTTCTAGATGATGATCATGAACATACTGAAAAGCTTTAATTGTTTTCCAGTATAGCTGGTCTCTGCCTTCTCTGGTTTTTAATCCCACAGCAGGGAAGTCTTTATTTTCTTCTGAACTCATGAACAAAACTTTGTTACACCGCTGGGCCCATGTAGCTTTGACATGTTTAGCCTTTTTCTCTAGGTTTTGAGGCCCTGTCATAACCCAGCAAAGAATTTTGACCTTCTGATAGAGGTTTTCAGCAATGTCTGTGTTCTCATCTATTAAACAAAAATTTTAAAGTTATACTGACATATACGTAAAATACAAATAAATTATGCTGAAGACATTTACATAAACAATTTCAAAGACCCCTCCCCCTACTTCTATTTACCTATCTACTATTAGTGATTTAGCTGAAAGAAAGCAAAGCTCAACCTAATATGAATTGACATTCTGATTTATTGTTTTCAGTCACTCTTATCCAGGAGATCACTGGAGATAACAACAGTTGTCACTATGACTTCAATTCTTACTATTCGAACTGTGGTTCATTGACCACACAGCATCAGCACCACCTGGGAGTTTGTTAAAAATAGAGCATCTCAGGTCCCACCCCAGATCAACTGAATCAGAACTTGCATTTTAACAAGTTCTCCTGGTAATTCACATGCGTTTAAAGCACTGCCTTAGACAGTCTTTGCTTTTTACTCTGTTCTACAATGAAAGCTTCAGCAGGCTCTTAACAGAACTTTGACAGAAATTTTTCTCTGTTCTGAATAAGCTTCTGAAGGGCAGAAAAGACATGCTGCATTTTGAAGCTCCCAAGAATCCACTGTTATGAATTTCTACAAGTACCCTGAGGTGGCTTTAAAAAAGCTTTCATAACTACCCCAGTCTGATGAAGAGGAGTTAATGCAGAGTTGAGATTACTTTTGATAGTAACATACCTTATTACAAAATGTAAACCCACCAGTCAAAATAATAACAGATGAACAGGTAGAGGTAGTATTTCCAAGACTGTCTAGAGTAGTGTTTTTCAAGGTATCAGTTTGCAAAGAAATATGTAAGGAGCTTATGCCAGAATATAAAGCAATATATTATTAGTCTTTTCATTGAGGAAGTCTTGCTCTACCTCCTCACCCCCACCCCACCCCAAAAGTCCTAACAGTGAGCTTAACTGTTTTATATTCTGGTGCAAGCACCTTAGCTGGATGTGGACAGGTAACACACTTCATAAGCTGTGAGGGCAGGACCACATTTTGAGTAGCATGGTGGTATAGAGGAAGAGTCTAACCATAAGATTCTAGGTCAGTGCTTGGTGAAAAACCAATTTTTATCTCCAATAGTTAGAAATCTATACTTTTATAAACACGCTAAAAATGAAATACCAAAAAATAAAAATTTAAAAATAAATATAAAATGCAAGCCTCAACAAGTTTTTATATTTAGATTTAGACAAAATTACTGTCAAATTACCATAAAAGTTTGTTTAATCACAATTTCAATACTTATTTAGTTATAGGCCAGCATGGGTCTGCAAAACCACACTTTTTGTAGCAGTGCTGTAGGACGAATCCTGAGAAAACATATCCTTAAAGTTAAGGTCAACCAGTGAGTTACAAAAGCTCAGTCCAATGACAAATTAACAACTGGAGGCATACATTTCTAGTTAACTGAGAGGAAACAGAAGGCAAGGTTGGGCAGGGCATGAAAATATACTAGTGCCCCTCTGAATATTAAGAATTCACAATATAAAACACCAGACAAAATCACCCTATTTTCAGTCAGAGAGCATTCAAGGTTTTTATAGTTGAGGAGTCCAACCTCCTAGCTATACAGATATACCAAATCCTGAATGGATACGGAAATTGGTGGATGCAGGAATCCCCAATATGTTTCACTTAGAGAAAGATGAATTTCTCCCCACTGCTGGGATGTGATATTCTGTCTCATACTTTCAATTATTCACTCATTAATTACTTTGAAACAATCATGTGTTAGCACAGGAGATGAAAAGATGAATAAGACACATGTGCAAATCAATACTTGCCACACACTAAGAGATGCTATAATAGAAGCATGTACAAAGGGTTCAATTGTGCTGAAGGAAAAGCAAACAGTGGCTGATAAATCCTATAAAGCAGTGCAATGGGAATTTGGCCAGAACAAAGAAGGGGAAATAAAGCAAAACCAGCAAAAATAAGCGATAATGCAGAAAATAGGTCTTTAAACGAGTAGATGCTCACCAGAAGAAAGAGTAAAAGGCATGGTGAAGTTTGGTTGAGCGCAGGTAAATGGGAATAACTGAAGGCCTGAACTGAGGGAAATGCACTATGGATTGAAAGAAGAAATCTGAAAAATGTTAGAATTAAGTGAGAACTGGGATTGGTAAGTGAAGGAAAGCATTATTTCACAGTTTCTGGCTTAGGCAGATGGTAATGAGCTATATAAAATAAAGAATATAGGAAATAGAGCGAGTTTTAGGTGTAGGAAGGAAAAGAAAAGGAGTCTCACTTGCACATGTTAAATTTGAGAGGAGCAGACAACTTTTAGCACACCCTACATTCTGTGGGCTATCAAAGAGGAAAAGCAGGTATCTACTGCATGTATCTGCAGTAAGGCCAATCCAGTACAGCCTATTAGTATTAGAGGAGCCTCAATCCAACTGACCATTTCAAGGCCACAGAGCAAGTGCACAGTGATCAAACTGTTTTATGATAAGAACACAGAGTACCTGCTCAGAGCTGAATTGCTGTTATACAAACTTTCACACAGCAAAGAAAATTTGCAATAGTATACAAGTACATGCTAGTTCATAAAACTCAACCAAGATTTGATACTTTGCCCTTCAACCTCTGCTTGAGAGGTAGGAAAGAAGTAATTTACAGCAGGAAAGATAAGAGAAACAACTCCTATTGGGGACCCTCTGCACCCTAGAATTCCAATTGTTTTCAAGCTGCTTGTATTCTTTTCTGTCAAATAAACCACAAAAACTGCAGAGATCTCTGAATTGTGTTAATGACTTCTCATAGTGTCTAGAGCTGGGTTGAAGATAAAGACAGCAAGGAATAGATGGAAATTAAAATATGGGGATTGATGACATCACACAGATAAAGAAAGAGTCAAAGTACAAAAACTTGGAGAAAATCAACATTTAATGGGCACACAGAAGACTCAATCGAGAAAATCTGGTTAGAGATATGAGGCTAGGAGAAAATGAAGTCATTATAACATATCCTTAGTTTCCTACTGCCCTAGTTCTTTAGGGAGAAAAGATTAGTGACTTTAGCTATTAA